ATTGATTAATATTTTTTTTTTTTTTCTACCAACATAAATGATGAGAGCATGTAGGCAAGAATATTCCCATAAAGACATGGGAGTTTAACTCAAATACACATCTCAAGCACACTTCCAAAAACACAAATCAAAATCACCTAAACTCACTCACCCAAACACACACAGTAATTGTGAGAAAAACGCACACACAATCACAGATTCAGTGTACAGTATACACACACACACACCCCTCCGATTGCGTGCTAGTGCGCGTAATTTGGCAGAGATTTTAGGGTAATAAGAGAGGGGTTGCCGATTGGAGATCTCCGGCGGCAATGTCTCACCCGCTTCCTGTCGTTGTCGCGCTTAACTGCGTCGAGGACACGGCGCTCGAGCAGGAGTGCCTCTCCGGCGTGGCGCGTGTGGAGCACGTGCCGCTGAGTAGGCTGGCCGAGTCGCGGATCGAGTCGGCGGCGGCGGTCCTCATCCACTCGCTCTCCTTCCTCCCGCGCGCCGCTCAGCGCCGGCTCCGCCCCTGGCAGCTGGTACTCTGCCTCGGATCCTCCGACCGGGCAGTGGACTCGGCCCTCGCGGCCGAACTCGGGCTGGGCCGGATGGTCCACGTGGACGTGAGCCGGGCCGAGGAGGTGGCGGACACGGTGATGGCGCTCATTCTGGGGCTGCTCAGGCGCACGCACCTGCTCTCGAGGCACGCCCTTTCGGCCTCCGGGTGGCTCGGATCGGTGCAGCCGCTCTGCCGCGGGATGCGGCGGTGCCGTGGGTTGGTGCTGGGAATTGTCGGTAGATCTGCATCTGCGGCGTCGTTGGCTAGCAGGAGCTTGGCGTTTAAGATGAGCGTGCTGTATTTTGATGTGCAGGTACTCCAATGAGTGAAATCTTAAAGTTTATGACTTATGAGTGAAATCTTAGAGGAAAACTTGTTTTATTCTGTGGTGCAGTTTATGAAAGTTTATCCGTTTATATCTATTCTTTTCCCTTTATCCTTTTATTTTCTTGCTGATGGATAGAATTTGCTCTATATATTTGTCTTAATTGGTGAGATAGTGAAGTATGCCTGCTTGTAAAAAATGTGGTTGTCTGTTATTTGTGCTGTTAAATTTGTAATGTAGATTTGTTTCGACTTATAATTATGACTTACGTTTTTGGAAAATGTTACTTTTTCATGTTATCTAGGCTGTGATATAGAAGGTGTGCTTTTTGTTAGTCTCTTTTTCCTATGTTTTATTATTCTTTTTTGAAAGAAGTAGGTCAGTTGATGCAATATGTTTTTCATGCTGAAAAATTAATTATTATGTAATTGTGGAATAGATGTAATTTGCTCATCTGGAATTGCTGTGCTTGCCATAGTTTGGACCGTGAAAGTATGATCTTTTTTTGTTCTTTCTTTTTCTCCTTCTTCCCACGTCTTTCCCAAATTTATGAGCTTTGTGGATATCTTTTGTTAGGTCACTGCAACATCCATTCTGGTTATTAGTTACAGTCAACATCTTTGGAGTCCCATAGATTTTTTCGAAAGAGGAGAAACCTTTTTATTCTACTATTTAGGTTGATGTAGATTGTGTGCTGGTGATATTGAGGATATTCTAAATGTACACCTAACAATTTACTTTATTTGTATGTTGCTTTGGTTTTATTTTTTCTCACAAGTTAAAATTTGTTCCCTATATGTGTATGTAGGGAAATGCTAATATAAACAGATCTTCCTTAAGATTCCCAGCTGCAGCCAGAAGAATGGATACACTCAACGATTTACTTGCGGCAAGTGACCTCATATCACTGCACTGTGCTCTTACGAATGATACAATTCATATCATTAATGCAGATTGTTTGCAGCATATAAAGCCTGGTAAGTTGTTTAAAAGTTGGTTGTGATGATTTCTTGAAACTTGATATATACTGTATTTCTCATGAGGCCATACTTCTTCTCTAAAGGGGCATTTCTTGTAAATACTGGGAGCAGCCAGCTGCTGGATGATTGTGCTGTGAAGCAACTTTTGATTGATGGCACACTCGCAGGCTGTGCTCTGGATGGTGCTGAAGGGCCGCAATGGATGGAAGCATGGGTATGATGATTATAGATTTAGGGTATGAGTATGCATTGAGAAATGTATTTCACAAATTAACTGTTGCTTGTGATGAAGTTGTGTTATAAAATGACATGGCTATTTTGTTTGATTGCTTTATATTATGATGTAACTGCCTCTCTTCTGAAGGTTTCTACTTCATTCATTATGTTATATGCGTTTTCCCTTCTTTGGTGGTGGGACTTTTATCTGACCCAAGTATTCAATTTAATTGGTATTGGGTGAGACAAAGTCCTTTCACTTTTCTGGTAGGCTTTAAGAGACTTCTGGGCACAGGAATACTTTCTCTGTCCTTGTGCCATAAATTATGAAATTCCATGGGATTCAGTCTAGGGCCTAAATGATTTGTGCTGCAGGCCATTGAGCTATCTGTGAAGTTTAATACATAACATGAAACTGATATCTCCTCTAGGAAAGCTCCATTCTCATTTTGCATTGTGGACTTTAATTGTATGTAGTCTTGTCTGCTGCGAGCAAGTAATACCTCTTCTCTGTTTAACAAATCTATCTCTTCTAGTAGCTCTTTGCTAACATTTGGGGCCAATTTATATGATGGCTGATCAGAATGTAAGTATTCACATGGATGTAAAGTGAGATTTTTATAGCTTTATAGTGAGATCAAGTATCCTTGCTGGATCATTTGTTCGTCTTGGAGGATACTTTTTACATGTCCACTGTTGATTATACTTATTTAACTATTAGTTTGCTTGCTTGAAACTTAGCATGTCTGCTTTTTCCTAAAGGATTTTGGGAACAACCTCTGAACTTTGAAAAACTAAAGATGATATACAGTAGTGCTTAAATCATTCTCCTGGCATTGCATGCTTCATATTGTATGCATATTCGTGTCAGTCTAAGATTGTGAAATACTTAAGTCGATTTTGCAAGAGTAATATTTCTTCGAGTTTGCTTTAATTGTCCAGCATATATCATCTATCAATATCAATGGGACAGAAGGATATTGTAGATTTCAGGACTATAAAATCCTTTCTGCCTCAACTAAAATTTTGAACACTTTGACCTGATATCAGCTTCGGGAGATGCCCAATGTTCTAATACTTCCACGGAGTGCGGACTACAGTGAAGAAGTATGGACCGAGATACGGGAGAAGGCGATTTCCATACTACAGCAGTTCTTCATTGATAATATCATCCCCAAGGATGCTGTTTCTGACGAAGAAGAGGAGGAGGTGGAACAAGAGGCCAGGGATGAGAATAATCATGGCCACACGCTGGCCCGTGAAACTTCATTCCAAGATTCAGCTGTTGATAGGCTGCATGAAGAAATTCAGCCAGCAGCCGAAAGCTCTCAGAAGAAGCTCTTAAACCAGTCAAAGGGAAATTCATCCCACAATCAAGACTCTGTTTTGTCACAAAGCACATCAAACAGATCTGAAACAAAGCGGAGCAGGTCGAGTAAGAAGGCAAAAAGGAGGCACGGCCGCCAAAAATCCCAGAATAAAGCGGACGCTTTTGAAAAAGGGAGCACTTCATACAGAGAGGAAGATGGGTCTCTGAGTGGCGCAGATCAAGTGTTGAGTTCAAGTTCGCGTTTTGCGTCCCCCGAGGATTTAAGGATCCGGAAAACGCATGTTGAGTCGAGCATCGAAAGTAGTAAGAAATCGGTTGAGGTCCTGAAGGATGGACATATTGTGGTTTTACTTGCAAGAGACGGTCCTGCCCTTCATGTATCGAAGCAGAGAGTTAAGGGAGGCGGCTGGTTCCTTGACACGGTGTCAAATGTTTCGAAAAGAGATCCTGCAGCGCAGTTCCTTGTTGTGTTTAGAAACAAGGTGTGGACAAGAATTTAAAGTTGTTTTGTTTGTCTTCTTTATTACGTTACACAACTTCTATTGGCTTCTGATGCTACTGTAGCAAAATAACAGTTGGAATATGTAAGAGAGCTAATCCTTGGGTGATGATTGTTTAAGGGATGAAACTAAGACAGCTGACCGATTTATCGTTTCTGTATTTTGCAGGATACTGTTGGTTTTAGATCGTTTACTGCTGGAGGAAAGTTATTACAGGTACTTCTTGCAATCGAGTTTTGACATGTTTCTGTAGCTAATTGTTCTCTTTTGGCTTGTAAGTTGTTGATATGGATCATGGATTGTTTTGGATGGATGAATATTTGACGTATTTGATCTCGTCATAACGAAGTTTGATTGATGAAAAACTTCAAGTTTTTTCATTATGGCTTGTTTACCGAGTCTATATAGTTATTGTGATAATTTATGTTAACTGTTTTGGCAGTATATGTCATTTCTTTTGTCTAAAGATATTCTTCGACATTACAGATAAATAGGAGGATGGAATTTGTATTTGCTAGTCATAGTTTTGATGTTTGGGAGAGTTGGACAGTTGAAGGTTCTTTGGACGAATGCAGGCTGGTGAACTGCAGAAATCCTCTAGTAAGTTCATTCTCTATCCTGTGCAGTACATTTTGGTTTTTAATTTTTTGGTAAATAGAGACTAGATCCCTGAATTAGTGATGGAGCCATAATGGTGATGATAATGTTTGCTTACGTTTCTGCAATTAATAATATTGGAATTTGCAAATAATGGAACTCTAATGAGGTTGGTCAATTATGACCATAACATATGCAATTTTCTTCTAGTAAAAAAGCCAGCTTGTACACTTGCCAATTTTGAGCCTGTTTGCAATTAATTTTAAAATTTAGCTCTTTCTTTCTTCCTTCCTTTTCTTTTAGTTAAAACTGCTCCTGTCTTCATTTCTTACAGCACTATAATTAAATTAGCATCATTAGAACTGTTTTTCATATATTTTGATTGCTTCTGGAGACTCAAGAAAAGGGTGGAGTACACAATACATCCTTGACTTTTTGTCCAACCCAAAAGAAAAAAAGAAAGGCTGTTTTCCAGTAGTAAATAAAGTGCTCTGATGTTTGTTTCCATTTTACAAACTGACCCCTCTATAAGTCAATCACTTACGAAAGATTCAATTCCAAGTGGTGCTTGTATTTTGTAATGCCCCAAGGAGTCCTTTATGATGCTTGTATGCCTCAAGGGGTCATTAATAATTTTAAAACATGATTTTCTTTCTCAAAATATACAAAATCTATGATGAATAAACTAATAATATACCTATAGATTATAGAACTCTCTCATTAGTCATTTATGTAAAATCCCCGCTGTGTAATCGGCAGGCAGCGCTGGATGTACGCATTGAAATCGTTGCAGCTCTAGGCGAAGATGGTGTTACTCGTTGGCTTGATTAGTCGGCTAGAATTTATGAAGCATTTTAACACATGCATGACAATTTATTTGTTTACACTGAGGTTTGTGATGTCTTCACATTTGAACTGATGAATGTTATCCCTTTTGTATTTGTGTGCTAATCTCCTTTGAGATGCTATTGCTGTTGTAATTGAAAAATTCGACTTATTGTGATTGCTATTGTTAATTTTTTCAAAAGCCTCCTTGTGCTTTTCTCATTTAAAGATACGTTTGTGGGTTTTCTATTTTCTGCTAATCCTATTTGATTAGTCTGTTACTCTCCTTAATGTTTTATACTTTTATTTCATTTTTTGTATTAGCGGACGGCAATA